CCTCATCTTGGAGCTCGCTTCTGTTAGCAATGGCTTTAAGGCGGGCTTCCAATTCTTCCATTTTGGCAGACTGAAGATTCTGCTCGTTCTCAGTCTCTCTTCCTTCATCAGAGGAAGATTCCAGGCTATGGGCTTCTTGGTCAGAAGCCGCATCATCAACCACTTTTCCCTTCCCTTTGCTTGTGTGAGGTCGGGATGAAGACGCTTTTCCTCTCCGGGAAGATTCTTGCCTAAGCGGCGAATCTGTCTCTTGAGATTTGGCCTTGTCTGCGACGATTTGAGTCAACATGGCCATGAGTTCATTGATGGCCTCCTGCTGAGATTTGAGCATGGCTTCCTGTTCATCAAGTCTCTTTGAAAGGTCTTCCGAATGTTCTGCCATGTGGACGAAGCTCTCATGCCCAACGAAAGAGCTTGATGATTGGGACTCCGCAATGGCTGAGTGTTCGTCATCGGAATTAGTTCCTCTGGCTAAACTCTGATAGTTGATAGGAGGAATGGCTCCTGTTCGAGTCCGAGTACGTTGGTAGATTCCTTCAAACTCGTTAGTGATTTCTCTGACGCTTGGAGAATGATCTGTCTCTGACCCGTCGGAACTAAGGGTTGATGATCTCCCTCTACCAACCATGTTAGAAGTGACTCTAAGGTATTTATCCTCTAAAGTCTTCTTCCTGTGAGGATGTCGTCGATTATTGAGCAAAACGACATTCGTCGGTCGGTTGAACATCGACAGCAATTCCCGCAAGTCAGAGACTTGGGATGAACCTCTCACAGAGCGTGAGGGTAAAGATGGAACCCCCTGTCCATTAAAGGATGAGACTGGCTCCTGGTGAACATGGATCTTGAGTCCACGTTGATCTTTTTGAACACGACAAATCTCATCGTGTTCTGAAGAAGAAACACGAGGGTCGTGTTCTGTTTTACTAACGCTAGACCGAAGTCTGCGTTTTGTTGATGAAACGCACCTTTGCCGGTTGCGTTTTTGTTGGTTAACGCAGTTTGTAAGTCTGCGTTTTGGATCTTGAACGCACTCCTGAGAGTTGCGTTTTGGTTCTGAAACGCACTCCTGAGAGTTGCATTCCGCCAAATCAACGCAGTTTTGAAGGCTGCGTTTTGATTGCACAACGCACCACTGAGGGCTGCGTTTGGCATAAACTGAGCCCACTCCTTTAGAGGTAGGGCTGCTCGAGTAATCTCGGCGACTAAAGGAGAGGGTTTCCTTTGGCATAGGAGCAACCTTTGGAGCTTTAGTCTCCTTGGCACCTCTGATCCGATGTCTTGTTTCACTGGAACGTGGTCTTCTCCTCACGATTTGACGTTGTGGAGAACTCTGAACGAGTTTAAAACTCTATGAAAGAGTTGATTTAACCGAAAGTCGGTTATAAGCCAAGGATGAAGAAGATCTTGTTGCCGATCTCAAAAGCTCCAGAAATGCTCTAAGGATCCTGTTGACGAGCCAAGAAGTTCTAACCGACCGCCCCTCGAAAGATCCAGCCTTGATCTGATTATCAAAAATCCGATCTTTAACTCTGTTGAGTTTGTTGTTATTTATAGGGGATTAAGGGGTGTAACAACCTCCTTAATTCGCTCCTAAGTGGGGCTAATGGGATGTAACCGCCCCTCAAATCACTCCTGAGTGGAGTTGTGATCACCTCAGATCGTGGGAAACGGTTTTGGAACCGTTCAGATCGTGTTTGAACGAGTCAAACGCAAAATCCATGTTCTGATGCGAATTCTGCGTTCAAACGCAGTGTTTGGAAGCTCAGACGCAGCAATTTGGAAGCTGTGTTGGCATCTTGTTGAAAGCTGCGTTTGACAGCTTGGGAGCTGCGTTTGGCGGCAGGTGAAAGCTGCGTGCGGCGCATCTTGATGCTGGTACACGGGGAGGACTTCCACATCTTGATTTGAAGAGACCATTGATTTGTAGTCTCTTTCTGTCGAAGCGTTGCAAAGATCGTCATCTTGTAATCTTTACTTTAGCTCTTTGATATGCAAGAGTCGTCAGATTGTAACTCTCGATGTTGATGGTGAAGGCTGTTAAACTAGAGCTCTCATCAGTTGTCGCGAAGGTCGTCAGATTGTAACCTTTAGCGATCTATGTGAAAGTCTTCAAATTGTAGCCTTCTGGAAGTCGTCAGATTGTAACTTCCATCATCGGTGTTTGATGGGAATCAGCTATCTATTGTGATTTTTAGATAGCCTACAGCACCACTGAGGGCTGCGTTTGGCATAAACTGAGCCCACTCCTTTAGAGGTAGGGCTGCTCGAGTAATCTCGGCGACTAAAGGAGAGGGTTTCCTTTGGCATAGGAGCAACCTTTGGAGCTTTAGTCTCCTTGGCACCTCTCACAGAGCGTGAGGGTAGAGATGGAACCCCCTGTCCGTTAAAGGATGGGACTGGTTCTTGGTAAACATGAATTTTAAATCCATGTTGATCATTTTGAACACGACGAATCACATCGTGTTCCAAAGAAGGAACACGAGGGTCGTGTTTAGCTTGATTAACGCAAGACCAAAGTCTGCGTTTTGCTAGTGAAACGCAGTCCTGCGATCTGCGTTCGGATTCAGAAACGCACTCCTGAGAGTTGCGTTCAGTTTGTGAAACGCACTCCTGAGAGTTGCGTTTTGGTTCTGGGACGCACTCTTGAGAGTTGCGTTCAGCCAGATCAACGCAGGTTTGATGTCTGCGTTTAAATGATAGAACGCACTCCTGAGAGTTGCGTTTGAGTTCTGAAACGCATTCCTGAGAGTTGCGTTTTGGTTCTGGGACGCACTCTTGAGAGTTGCGTTCAGCCAGATCAACGCAGGTTTGATGTCTGCGTTTAAATTTTGGAACGCACTCCTGAGAGTTGCGTTTTAGTTCTAGGACGCACTCCTGAGAGTTGCGTTCAGCCAGATCAACGCAGTTTTGAGGTTTGCATTCTGATGTTGGAACGCGCCTCTGAAGGCTGCGTTCTATCTGGGAAACGCACCCCTAAGGGTTGCGTCTAGCTTGGCCTATGCAGAGCTCATGTTGAGGCTCGCAAACGCAGAGTTCGCGTTGATTGGAGGATCGGCTTTGGAGTTGTGCCGAAGTCGAGCCTTCTCCTTTAGGGAGGGGACTGTATGAACAGTGCAACCCCCATGGGAGATAGTCTTTAGATGATTTGGCTACAACTGGAGGTTTAGTCTCCTCGAAAACTGTGTGGATCTTACGCATAGCCTTGGGGCTAAGGGATCCGGAGGAGATGGCCTCCTCGTACTTGGCTTGATCAAACTCGATAATCAGAGTTTCAACGGTCGTTCCAGTGAGATGAATGTCGGATTGCACCACCACTTCTTCATCAGAGAAGCTAGTCCCCAGCAGAGTCGCCATCTTTTGTTTGTTGGAAATTTGCAGTAAAAGAAATAATGAAAGAAAACAACTAGGATTTACAATCACACAACTTAAACCCTCAAACAAACTCTCAAATCTCTCACGATCTCTCTCTACAAAAGGACAGCCGCCAAAACACGCCATTGCACGAAAAAACCGATTTTTCTCTGCCTGCGGTTTTCTCCTGTAGCCACACACCACAAAAAACTTGCACGAAGCTCCTTTGCCAATTTGCCTCCTTGCGCACTAAACCCTAGGAGCCACTGCGTTTGTTTATATCACTTTGGGATCGGGTGGGCCAGAGATCACGCAGAAACGAAACCGCGTTCACGCGCTTGCCTCCGGTTGCAATCGCGTGGGACCTGCTCATGTGGGTGGCCCCCACGTCTTCACAAACAAAACATAAAAATTAGTTTTCCAAGAAATCATTTGAAAAACACGAAAAAATTCTTTATTTTTTGGATGGAAATCCATCTCCTAACCTCTTAACAGAAATAACATTACACAGGTTTTCTTGCTTTGCTCTAGTTTTTAGCACAATTAGAATATTTATCAGTATAAATGATAATTTAAAGAGGCTAATTACAGAATCGGTATGTTTAGTAAGAAAAACTTTCTGATTTGATACTATTAGTTTCTCTAGCAACATTAAGATATAAATATTGAAATTTTGTTGCCTCTAAGTTACCACATTGGTAATTTTAGCAGGACATACTTTCCAATTTGGTGTTCTTATTGATGTAGAAGTTCAGTACGAATACAGTAATGTTGGTGGAGAAACTAAAAATACCAAATCCGGAAGTATGCCTTTACTAAAATTATTAATTCGGTGATTTAGCCATTTAAAAATGAGTATTTAAAAAATACTCATTTTACCGCTCTGATATTTAGAATCTCTCTGATGACGATTTTAAAAGTTGGTTACTCTAAAATTTGGCCGGAGCGAATTTTTTCGGCGGGAAAATTTCTTCCAACCCCCGACATCTTAAAATCGTTGTATTTTATACCCTTCATTATCTTTTTCTTCCCAAATTCAAATCCTAATCAAAATACGCAAGCAACCCAAAAATTTTAATCTTCGTATCTCTTCTTGGCCAATCTTTAGCTCAACTGATGATGGAATTATAATAACTCAACAAGATTATCAAGGATTGCAGGATTTTAAGTACTCAATTTCAAATCCAAGAGGGGTTTCAAGAAGCTAGAATGACTCTGGCATTAGAGCTTGCTTTGGCGAGTGGGCAGGAATCGAATGTGTTAGTTATGATGGGTTGCCTGTATGAGGAAGAAGAAGGGGAGAGGAGGATGATTAGGATTTGAATTTGGGAAGAATACATACAAATCAACTCGGTTTCTCTAAATAAGATCCCCCATTTACAACAAAATTGTAGATTAGGAGGCGAGAAGAAATTTTCCCGTCAGAAAAGTTAGCTCTGGCTAAATTTTAGAGTTATATGGTAACGGAAACCAACTTTTAATACCCAATTATCATCGAAGATATCTTAAATATTATAGCTGTAAAATTAGTTTTTTTAAATACCTACCTGGTAGTTTAGCCCTAAAGCCCTAAATTATATGGGCATTTTTTGTTCAAAACTTCACTATAAGTAATCGGCACGTGAGAAGCAGCAGCCCCCTATCGTCACCAGAAGACATCTCTTTCTTCCTCTTGCTGTCCCAAAAAAAAAAGAAGAAGAAGAAAACTCACAGAAAACATTAATAATTATTTGATCTAGGGTTTCTCTCTCGTGCAGATCGAAAAACCCTTTGAATAAACCCTAGATCCTATTTATATCCAGTCTATGGCCTCCGATCACTTCGATTTCTTCGAGATCTACGCTAGATTCTGCGGTAACTGCCTCGTTTCCTTTTGGATTTTATCAATCTTTTAATTTCCATTATCTAGCTTGTTTTTCAAATATTTATGAGAAGCAAGTTGGGATTTTGAAGAAAGAACTTAGCTTCTGTCTGCTTTTGGTATCAAGATTGTGTTTTTTGTGCTCAGTTCATGCTTTATTGATGGGTAAAGATGATAAAAATCGAAGTTTTGAGTTTGTCAAGTTGGTTAAGGTGAAAATATGCTACTGTCCCATCTTAGGAGGAACCAATATTTTATTACAATTCAAACTAGCAGACCATTCAAACTGCGTAATTACTAAGGACTGAAACTGAGAAATTTGAGTATGCCAACAAAAAATAACCATAAAATTTACAATTTAGATGTATAAAGGACACCTCATGTTAAGTGCATAGCGGGAAATTTTATTCTTGCCAGTAGAATCTTGGTTTAAGTGGTAATAGAATTATCTATTAATTATTATTAAATGTAATGATATTTTGAAAGAACAGGTTTGATACTTTGAAAGAACAGGTTATCTGTTTCAACCGTCGCGTGTGTGTCTAGGGACATTGTTTCCAGCTTCATGCTTCGCCCTGCTTTGCAGCACATAGTGGAGACAGGACATTCTACGTGGGTAGTCTACAATGAAAATATTATATATTACTTCAGACACAGTGTACTTTGGTCGTTCGTTGACTATGTGTATTATATTTGGGTATATGCTTAAAAGACATGTTAAGTTAAAAATTATGATGAAAGCTTTCATTCATTTTTTATTATCTTCAAAAGAAGCTTTAAGAAAATAAAAAGATTAATTGGCTAACATGACTACAATTCCAATTAACTCTAAGATCAAAAATTTTTACTTGAAGTTTTGAGGCTGATAGAAAAATCTCATAGAGTGCAAATAATTCGAGTAAAAGGCTCAATGTTTGGTCAAGTCAAATTAAGAAAAGTAACTCTGGAGTAGTGAGCATCAACATCATTAACGTAAGTAACATCTGCGCTAGCATATTGAAACATGCTATCATTCTTATGCAGATATATATTTGTGCCATGACTTGTCTAGATACTTCATTTCAGATTATTTTGTATTGACATATATTATTGGAGGTAATTTTCGTGTCAATACATGTAGATATCGCTTCCAGAAGTGACCATACAAGCTCAAAGGATCTGTTGAACATGCTATCAAGATCATTGGAATCTCGAGGAAATATGCGGTAAGATATTTTTCCTAATATTATATCTTTACTACTACAATAGACATTGTGGAAATCTTCTCTTTTTATTTATTTTTTCTGCTTGATTCAAGCTGTAAAAGTAACATGCACGGGTGTTTGGTCATGCAAATACATGCGCTCATAGAAACTATGCTATGATTGATTTCATGAAGCTTAGATGGTTTTTACAACAGTATGAATCACAAGTATATGCTCTGTGTGGAGAAGCACACTTTATGCTTTCATAGAGACGCGTGTATCACTTGGGTTATCGGTTAAGTTATTAGAAACTTCTACTTGGATATTTATTTGATGTCAGGAACATAGAATGAGCTTATGCAATATGTAGGCTGTCACGTTAGGTTCCATATATTCCAAACATCTTCTGCTGACTATCAATTTTTTTTTCAGGGATGCTATTTTTGATGATCTTTCCAAACTCATGTCATGCCTGCGTTTGTCTGTGGGTATTAATTTTCTATGTAACTCTTGTTTCTGATATCTGTCCTACTTTACTCGTCAGTAATTTGGCTACTTTTTAAATCCTTACTCTTGTGCCTGAGAAGTAATTCTTTGTAGCAATTATCATTTTGCAGGTAGATTCTCGTCAATTTAATTGCTTTTATGATTTCGTGTTCTTTGTGTGTCGTGAAAATGGGCAAAAGAACATCAGTAAGATGCTTCACTCAGTTTCTTTCAGCCATTACTCATTACCTATTGTCTCTACAACCCTGACACGTATTGGTGTAATCTCAAACTACTTTCAGCTGTAAGCAAGGCCATTTCTGCATGGAGACTAGTTTTGACCGGAAGATTTCGGTTGCTTAACCAATGGTGTAATTTTGTTGAGGTATGAATAAATTGGTCTTTTCGAATTTGAACATTGTAGAATGTCATCTGTTTGGGTTTTGAATGATGGTTTTTCTTAGCCTGTCATATTCTCTTTTGTAGCCTCTATAGAACTGTCAGAAGACCCATCTTTTTTAAGGCTTAAACCAAGTTTTTAACTTATCTTTAATTATCCCACATATTATAGGTCGTTGCTTTCAGCACCAACCATGTTTGCTTGTATTTGTTTAGATATTGTGGACACTGTTACTGTATATTATTGGACTTCCTTATCTGGGAATTCATTCTTTCCCATTGTTCATGTGCTTTGCACACAAGAAGACAAAGAAAAGAATATTTTAGCTAATAAATATTGTGTTTTTTGTGTGTGGGTGCATGTGTGTGGTACTAGGTGCATGAAAGCATTATCCAAGGCATAAGATCTTGTTGAGTAAATTTATTCCCTAGATTGCTACTTTGTAAAAATTATTAATCTCATTTCTGCTCTCCATGGGCAATGTAACACAATATTCAATACGGTTTTTGTATCTCATACAGCAATGCCTGTCCTTTACTATCGAAGTGTTGCTCCTGCTGTATATGGAACCACCCATTACGTGTTATTAGCTTTGTTTTTTTTCCTAATGTTATTCTCCTAATAATGGATTGTTCTTTTCCTCTCTTTTCCTGTCTAAATTAGAAACACCAAAAGCATAATATATCTGAGGACACATGGCAGCAACTCCTGGCTTTTAGTCGAAGTGTAAATGAAGATCTTGAAGGATATGATCCGAAAGGTAAATAAGATATTGTGCTGTGATCTTAGACATGAAGAACATTTTTGTTCCTCATATCCTATTGTTTTCTACAATTTAGCTTTATTCTTGAGGAGCTGACAACTGACTTCTTTTGTTCCTGCAGGTGCTTGGCCAATTCTCATTGATGATTTTGTTGAACATATGTACAGGTTTTTCCTTAACTACAGAATTGCTTCGATACTGGTCATTTGAATTAGGCTTGTGCACCTTTCTGATCAGTGAAATTTATTAATAGAGAATCTTGTTACCAGTTATTTTTTTATAATATGAGCTTCTTTTCTGATATAGTTATTGAAAGTACCCTAGAGGGGGGGGGGGGAATAGGGGGAATGCTAATCTAATCCAATTATTGAAAGTACCCTAGAGGGGGGGGGGGTAATAGGGTGAATGCTAATCTAATCTGATATTAACACCAATTTAAAACTAATTAACAAATATCCTAGCAAAAATGATATGCAACGAGATATATATGCAAGGATAAGCAATATAAACAAGGGTGAAATAAACAAGATGCAAATTTGATAGGGCAATATAAACAAGGGAAAAATGCTTCCAGCCCCCCAAATCCAAAAAAACGTTCTCCCCCCAGACTTTGTCAACGGGTGCTTTATCCCCAAAAATAAAGATTTTGTTCTCTGAGCCCCAAAAACACAAAACCCAAGAGATTAAAATATGTGAAGACCATAATACTCTTTTCCCTTTCTTTTTTTATCATGATGTTACTGAGATGATAGTTGAAATGATTGATGAGGATTGTTATTTTATTATTTTCGTTGTTGATGAGTGGAACTAACTGTTTTTTGTATTGGGAGATTGTTAAAGTTACGGATTAATTATTAATGTTACGAGTTAATTGTTAATGTTACGGGACAATTGTTAAGGTTATGATCCCTTCTCTCTCTCTATCATGATGTTACTGATAGTTGAAATGATTGATGGAGATAGTTATTTTATTATTTTTGTTTTTTATTATTTTTGTTGTTGATGAGGGGAACTAATTATTTTTGTTTGTATTGGGAGATTGTTAAGGTTACGGGTTAATTGCTAATGTTACGGCTCAGTTGTTAAGATTACGATAGTTATTTTATTATTTTTGTTTTTTTATTATTTTCGTTGTTGATGAGGAGAACTAATTGTTTTTTGTTTGTATTGGGAGATTGTTAAGGTTACGGGTTAATTGCTAAGGTTACGAGTTAATTGTTAAGGTTATCAGTTGTTAAGATTACGGATCGGTGGTTAAGGTTACGGTTCGGTTGTTAAGGTTATACGCGTTGGTTGTTAAGGTTACGCGTTGGTTATTAAGGTTACGGGTTGGTTATTAAGATTATACGTGTTGGTTGTTAAGGTTACGGGTAACACTTAACATTAACAGCCAACACGTAACCTTAACAAGCAACTCGTAATCTTAACAACCAACGCGTATAATCTTAACAAACAACGCTTAATCTTAACTACCAACACGTAATCTTAACAGCAACCCGTAACCTTAACAACCAACACGTATAACCTTAACAACCAAATGATTTCATGAATGCTTACAATTTATTCTAAATGAAGAGTGAAATGAAAATAATTTGTTGTCTAATATTAGTTAGCCATACCAAACTCAAATAATCTTTTGTTACAGTGTGGTTGCTGACACTTGTGTATCCATGAACGAGTGGGTCCAGCACACTTCCGCTCACACCGCTCTCGATGACATCCTTGTGTCGACGTGGCCACTGTCAACGAGTCTTTGATCAGAAGCAGACAAGTCACTCATCAGCTAGTAAATGTCGTGAACCAAGTTATGTAAACTTTTTGTTAAGTTTGGTATGGCTAACTAATATTAAACAACAAATTATTTTCATTTCAACTCTTCATTTAGAATAAATTGTAAGTATTCATGAAATCATTTGGTTGTTAAAGTTATACGTGTTGGTTGTTAAGGTTACAGGTTACTGTTAAGGTTACGCGTTAGTTGTTAAGGTTAAGCGTTGTTTGTTAAGGTTATACGGGTTGGTTGTTAAGGTTACGAGTTGCTTGTTCAGATTACGAGTTGGCTGTTAATGTTAAGCGTTACCTGTAACCTTAACAACCAACACATATAACCTTAATAACCAACCCGTAACCTTAACAACCAACGCGTAACCTTAACAACCAACCCGTATAACCTTAACAACCAACCCGTAAGCTTAACAACTGATCCGTAACCTTAACAACTGATCCATAATCTTAACAATTCACCCGTAACATTAACAATTAACCCGTAACCTTAATAATTAACCCGTAATTTTAACAATCTCCCAATACAAATAAAAACAATTAGTTCTCCTCATCAACAACGAAAATAATAAAAACGAAAATAATAAAATAACAATCATCATCAATCATTTCAACTATCAATAACATCATGATAAAGAGAGAGAAGGGATCCATAACCTTAACCAGTGTTGTAAATAGCGGCCAATAGCGGGGCTATAGCGGGGCTATAGCGGCGCGAATAGCGGTCGCGGCCCTTCAGCGCTACGCGTAGGGGTTTCGCGGCTGGCTTAAGCGGGAAAATCCGCTATTCATTCGAATAGCGCGTAAAAGCGGATTTTAGCGGGTTAAAAGCGGGTTTTCGCGGTTAAAAACGGATTTTCGCGGTTAAAAGCGGATTTTTGTTGTTAAAAGCGGCTAAACCCGCTATCACACATATTATGATGCTATATTTCTTGAATTTCTTCATAGTTTCATTCATACAACAAGCTTATTAATTATTATCTATTGATAATACAAGAAATTTACAACTAATTGAATTTTTAGATTTTTTATGAATTTTCTTATTATTTAGGATATTTAAATATATTTAAATTTGACCGCTATTTGACTGTGCGCTATTTGCCGCGATTTCGCCGCAATAGCCCGATATAGCCTTAGCGGTACCTCGTCGCGACGCGTCGCGATCCGCTATCAGCAACCTTGACCTTAACAATTGTCCCGTAACATTAACAATTAACTCGTAACCTTAACAATTAACCCGTAACTTTAACAATCTCCCAATACAAATAATTAGTTCCACTCATCAACAACAAAAATAATAAAAAAAGAAAATAATAAAATAACAATCCTCATCAGTCATTTTAACTATCATCTCAATAACATCATGATAAAAAGAGAGGGAGAAGGGTATTATGGTCTTCACATATTTTAATCTCTTGGGTTTTGTGTTTTTTGAGGGCTCAAAGAACAAAATCTTTAAGCACCAATTGACAAAGTTTTGGGGGGGAGCACGTTTTCTTAGGTTTTGGAGGCTGGAAGTATTTTTCCTATAAACAATAAGCAATACACAATGACGATATAGAATGAGACAAATGATAAACACAAATAATAACGCCAAGACAAACTCAAACACATAAAAATGATCACAGAGTTTGGTCCTTCCGACCTACGTCTCCGCTTCCTACTCCCGGGGAGAAATCCACTATCACCACAACTGGGTTTTCGACGCTCATCCTAAAAACGCTTACACCTCACAATATCGGTTTTCAACGTTCATTGACTATGTTATCCGGGTACTTCTATAATGAAGCTGTACCTGTACCGGACACGTACCCGACACTTTCCCGTACCCAAACTTCATGGACACTTCTTGAATATATGCATGCATTTATTACAACATGTACTCAATTATACGATATATGTGTTAATTTAAAACACTTGTCAAAGACTTCCTGGACGTAGAGTTTACACTTCACATCCTTCTTTTGAAACAATGAGATACGGGTCGGATTCGTTTCAGTCCATACACAAGTTTAAAACTATATAGTTAATGGGTCGTTT